TAATAATGATAATCATTTTAAGCTTTTCACATGCATTTTTTTTATTGTTGAAACCAAGTCAAGATTTTACAATAGACAAACCTACTATCAATAATGATCCCAACAATCCTTGGAATCTTGTTAATAAATATTATACATATTTTGCAAACAACAATTCATATAGTCAAGATTCATATTTTATACAACAACCTGATGGCAACACAAATATGTTTGCACAATTTTCTTCTTCAGTTCTGGCAATGCATAATTTCCTTACAGGTAGTGATTTATATATACTCATTAAAATAACAATTAAGTTAAATAATTTAATTTGATTGGTTTTTTATTAGGAGATAATGAAGCATTTAAAACTGGGTCATTGCAAGATGATACATATCTTTTAACATTAATGGTTGTATTTTCATTCATAGTTGTGGTATACCTAATGAATTTATTCATTGGTTTGCTTGGCAATGAAATTGAACATTATGATACCAAAGAAGCATTTTTGGCTCAAAAAGCCAAAATTATCACAGAGATTGAATTATTTTATTTACTTCCTAATCAGCGTCGTTGGAGAACCTGGTTTCCAGATATATTGTAAATATAATAATAATCAATTAAATAATTTTGATAAATTTCTTTTAATAATTATTTAAAAAAATTTTTTTTGTCAGATCCTATAATGCACCAATTGATGATATTCGTAAAAAAATTAAAAAAGCAGATGATAGCAACAAGAGTGCAGAACATCTCCCATATATTCCGGATAAGCTTAGAGAACTTGCTGGAGTGGATAAAAAAAAAGAAATTGATTTTCAACAAATTGAAAACAAACTTGTAAATAGTATGATGGAAATAGAAAAAAACCTTAAAGATGATCTCAAGGCTCAAATGCAAATTTTGTTGGATGAAATTAAGAATTCAAAAAAATAATTATTAGATTTATTATTTTATTTCTTTTATGATTATTATTTATTTATAGATTTATATAATAAATTCAAAATTAAAAAAAAACAACATTATATTGTATATTTATTTTGACAAGTGATAACGCATCTAGAATTGGAAAATTTGTCAAGTATTAATATTTATTTTGTTCTGTCTGGCCTTGAAATGATCAATGTTAATAATCAAAGTATCAAATTAGTAAATTAATGTTTGTAAAACGCATGCACAAAAAGGTAAATAAAAGTATAATTGAAAATATAGATGATGGTTTAGATATATTAACGCAAATACCTTTGGAAAAAATAATTTAGAACATATATGTTATTTAGAGTTCACTGAAAGTGAGAATTTTTTTTTGCCAAAAATCTTTCTTGTCTGTTATTTTGTTATTGCAAAAAAACTTGATATTAACATTACTACTGATTACTGCATTTCAGTTTTCAAAAATCAAAAATCTGAAATAGTTTCGAATTCGGTTAACAACTTTAATCTAATACTAATATAAGAGCAATAGAATCAATTACAACTGTCATTGTTGTCACCTTTAATGAAGATGAATTCGAAGTATACATTCTTTCTTCAACGTAGTAAATAAACATTGATTCCAAACGATTACCAATACAAATCACCAAATACTCAATATAAAATACGATAAATCCATCCCCAAAAAGGCATCAGTCGTAAAATCTGTTCGCCATATACCAATAAAATTAAACCTGCTCACACAGAAGATATAAAGTCATAATAATTCCCATTAACAATTTTTGGTTTGATATTAAGGAGGATTCTTCTATCCACCGAGAGAGTTGGATTGGTAATTAAAACTGGTTTTTCGAGTTGAATTCGAGAATATTTGGTCTCGCTTTGGTAATTTGCGATCGTATACAGTTCACTCTCTATATATTGGGAATATAAATTAGGCTTAAAATTCTCAGATCAAGCTACATTATAGAGAGAGTGAACTGTATATAGATAGATAGCCTTTTCTCAATTCCCATGATTGCCAGAAGTGTAACTTAACTAAGTTCATTTCGCTGACAGTTCATTTTGTCGACAGTTCATTTACTCGACAAACACTTCACTGACAGTTAGTCTACATGTGATGATAGTAATTGTGATCAAAGGTTGGGTGCCGAAAGTGTCGAAAGTGCCGAAAGTGCCAAAATCGACATGATTGTAATTAAAATTAACCAATTGTTTTGTAAACTTTAAACTATTTATGTTTTTATGATTCAAACAAAAAAATTTTTCATCATGCCCAATTCTAATTCACCAATTCCTTCTTAATCGTCATCATTATGCAATATGAATTTACAAACATCAAATCTAGATAATACAGATAATACATCTGAAAATCCATATAATAATCAAGAATTAATTCTGTAAACAATTAGGAATATTGCTAAAATCCATTCCTTTTATCTAAGCAATATTAAAAAAGAACTAGAATATACTGGTCAAACTTTAACAGGAAAGGATTTAAGAGTATGTTGGTTGAAGCAGAAGTTATTTCAGATGATGATGATGAAAGTAATAATGATGAAATTAATTTGACAGATTTAGAAATTCATGATATTGTGGATTTGGAAAATAATTTTTTTTTTAGAAGACAATGATAAAATGGATGAGGATATGGATGAGGATAGTGGTGGAGATTACAGTGATGATAGTAATGAATTAGATTATGATACATTAGGATTAGTTCAAGAATCAATGAATGAGGATTTATTTTCAGAAATAGTTAATGAAGAAGCATTTCAACAACCAGAAGAAAACCAACAATTATTACATGATTCTACAGGTTTTGAAGAAAGTTGCGAAGCCAATGATGAATATGAAGTAACAATTTCTACTAAAACAAGAAGCAAGTACCCAATTAAGCAACATAATCTACGAAATAAAAATGCTTAAAAATTTGTTTAAATAATTCTATTTTTAAAATAAAATTTGAATTTACACTTTCATTAATTTCGACATTTTTCGTCACCTTTGACGCTTTCATCACTTTCGTCACTTTCGGCAAAAATACTTATCATTTGCCGAAATACTTTCTACCCTCCAAAATACTTTTGGCACCCAACCTTGATTGTGATGATATTGCCACTGACTATTTTGGTGATTATAATAATTATTGTTTTTAATAGTGTAAATTACACTACCCTACAAAAAGTATTTGGACGAGGTTGTTTAATAATTACGCAAAATGCCACATAACAAAAGTACGCATATATGGCTTAGGTTTTAGCGAATTTATGTGAAAAATCTCGTTTTTTTATCATTCTTTTATGATTTTAGTTAAAAAAAAAACAGACACCAGTCAAAATTTTTTTTATTTAAAAAATTAGTATTTTGTTGGTCACTCGTTATTAGAAATTCATGCTTCAATTCTTCTTGGTATACTTTCAATAAGGTTATATAGCACACTCTGAGGAATTTGAGACCATTCTTCTTTCATTGCAACCTCTAACTCTGTTGTGTTTTTTTAGACGGCCACTTCTTGGTGCACTTTTTAAATTTTCTACATTCTCATAATGTTTGATAGTGTCATGAACTGTAGACTTTGGAATATTAAGTGTCTTTGCGATTTTTACAAGAGAACTACCACCTATTCTTAGATCTAAAGTTTTTCCTCGCTCAGTTTCAGTTAATTAAAAATCGTGAAAACTTTTTTTGATCTAATCAAATTTATTGGTATCAGTTTATTTATAATAACAAAACTTTCACGCGTGACAAGAACATAAAGTTTTAGCCATCTATTTATGAGAACCTAAACTAGAAACTATCAAATTTTTATTAAATTTTTATAATATAAAATTTTCAGAAACGTAAAATTTTTAAAAAATCACAAAGATAATCCTTGTGATTTATTTGGTGTTTGTTTTTTTTTAACTAAAAGTCATAAAAGAAAGATAGAAAAATGAGATTTTCTATGTAGAGTTTCCAAAACCTAATCCATATATGATATAAATCTTGTTATGTGGCATTTTGCATAAATATTACAAAATCTCGTCCAGATACTTTTTGGAGGGTAGTGTATATGAATTGTCGACGAAATGAACTATTGACGAAATGAATTGTCGATGAAATGTGTGTCGACGAAGTGATTTTCGATGAAATGAATCAGACACTTTTTGCTTTCAAAGTTTAGATCTGGCATGTTGTTAAATTAATCATATTTAAAATTAGTTTATTATACTATTAATAAAAAATAAATAGGTCTGATTCACTTCGTCGACAGTTCATATGATTTTAGCGTAACATACACATTGGTTATAATTATTAATATAAATTTAGTTGTTAATCCTGATTGATTATAGGAATCATGATTTCAGAAGCATTAGGAAATTTAGATAAAACGAAAATTTGGGTGCTAATTAGTTTGCAAGCATATTAATGACTGAATTTCATGCATCTTGAAAAGAATAATCATCATCAGAAAATAAATATTTCCCGAGTTTTGATTCAAACGAAATGTCAATTTGTCTGATTCATACTATTGAAAACAATAATTATCATCAATTATTATAACATGTCATGTAAACTAATTGTCAGTGAAGTGTTTGTCGACGAAATGATTGTCAACAAAGTGATTGTCGATGAAGTAGACGCGACTGGATTAAAAAAAGGGTATATATTTCTTTCGTGAAATAAGAATAATAAATGATTGCGGTGACTTATACAAATCGTAACTTTCACACTGATTGATATATTAATTGTAGAAAGTATTCTAAATTATGAAGTTTTATTCCAGTACGGGAATTGGTGGCCATTCTTGTGTAATAAATAATAAAGTAACAGTATCTGGAGTTTGATTGTTATTAAAGGAAGTATATGGACATGAAGCTTTATTTTACAATTTTTTCATATTAATTTTTATTTCATTCAATTTAAATATATAAAATCTTTATATGAAGTAAAATTTCACCTAGTCAAATTTGATTATATAGGTCGCTCTCTCTCTGTAATAGGATCTTTAGCTTTCGGTTTGGATCTCCAATCAATAATTTTTCTTATCTAGTTTAGATAGTAATAGTGAAAAGGGAGGATTCTATGGATTTTTAATTCAAGAAATTATTTCGCTTACACCATTCATTAAGTTCATTTAAAATGTCAAAACTAGTGATAACGTAATTACCTGTTTAAATTATAATTAGTTATACTAATGAAAGAGACATTTCATATACACAATCAATGAATTATATATAAAAAAACGAACGTGTCATTGATTTTTCCTCGGTAAATAAATAATTCAATTTCTACAACTAGAACACAAACTGAATACGAACAATTTGGCCAACTCTTGGGAAAAAGTATAAAAAGATATTATTAATATCCATCGATCTATTAGATTTATTAATGAGATGTAATAATTAAAGGTTATTTTAAATCGTTCATCGTTTATTTTTTTACAAACAATCAAACCATTTATTATAATACAAAATATTTACTTTTGATTAATTTAGCAATTATTATTATCGATTAAAAGAATATATATAAATACCTTTTAATCGTTCCACTCTTTTACCTCGTTCCCTATTTTAATCATTAGCATTAATAATTATTATAACATATTTTAAACGACCACAATATTGTCAATCACTTTGTTGTTGCTTTCATTTAACATAACAAACCTAAATTTTATATGAGCACAAGATTTACGTATTAATATTATAATTGTGTATATATCTTGTTAAAAAATTCAACGGGAGTTCTGTAAATATATTTTTTTAGATCTTCGTCACTCCAACCAGAAGATGGGTGAAATTCAAATTCATCATCATTGGTATTTTGTCTTTTGATATTGTTATCATTACTATTCTGATGGTACTGATGACACTTGAAAATAAGTTAGTAAAAATTTTTGTTGTTTATTTTTACACCTACTTATTTTGATATGTTTATCTAAATATCATATCTATTCAGGGCATCGCTAATTTTGAATTTTTAATTTATACACATTATGGATGTTGGTTTGAGCGAGCATTATCGTATTTCCAACCCATTTGGAAATTAAAAAACCTTAGTTGGCCAAGCCAGCCAAGAACTCGTATAAATTTTCCATCTTGGATAAATATATTTATATTGAATTACCAAAAAATCGATTAATTTTATTGTTTATAAAATTTTATCAATATTATGAATACTATTTTTACCAAGTCTGTTTCTTTTCTTTGTAAATGCATTTCCAGCTGATGAAAACAACTTCTCGGTTGGTTGGTATTGAGCTTGCACAGCAAGGTTTGGTAAAACTACCTTTATTTGATTCCACAAGTGAATCTTCTTCCAATAAAACTTTTTGTAATGTTGAATAAAAATCTATCTCTGAATTGTCGATTATTTGGTATCAAAAAGACTTGTTTGCCTTTTATTTGATTATCAACGATAAGGTTGACTTCTGAGAAGTTTCCTTTACACTTCTACTAATAATAATACTATTATTAATATTACTATCGCTATTATTATTGTCTCCTACTCTGCTACGAGTATTATAAACAAATTTGCGGTGGATTTTCTTTTGGTCATTTACAAAAAGAAAATTATGCCGTTTAAAAATACTTTAGCCGACTAACATCACTACATACATCAAACAGCAACGACTCAAGAGGTGAAGGGAATTGGATTGCTCTTATTGAGGTGTGGTATTATGAAGGTCCGTATATAGAGAGAATATAATAACACAAAGGATGCCGTTAAAATTTTACAGTTGAAATCCCATTCTTCCAATTTCTATTGAAACTGATAAGTGAATTACGGTGATTGTGATATCCGTGATAATTCGATTAATTGGTTAAATTGGTTTTTGAATCGTTTAAAAGCATTTAAAAGTCGATTTTAAGCATTAATTTCTAAAAATAATATTTTTACTAATATTAAATAAGGTAGTAATAAAAGTAAATTAGGTAGATATTTTGTTCAAGATGTTTATATAATACACAAAAAATAATACGTTTTTCTATCACCTGTGCTGCACCCAGCGCAATACTTCGTTGCCCATTAAATACTCGGTAGCAAACTACCTATGATTAGAAATTATTAGAGATTGTCCTGACGTAAAAGTTGACTTCGACCAGTCTTGATTTAGTAACGTGTGGGTTAAAGTGTCTAACCCAACGGTAAAAATGTATATTTCTATTTTCTATTTTTTAAAATATCATCCCGACTAGGCTAAAAGTTATTTTCGTGTCGTTCGACCAGTCTTTGATATTGTGGTTGTTAGTGGTTTATCCATCCAAATGTTTATGGTATATTTTAAAGAGTGTATAAAGTTGATTAGGAAGTTTAATAAATGAAACGCTTAAAATTTCTCTTCAGTTGTTAGAGGGAGAGGAAGTGTGTGTTGTGAAAGGAATAGGGAAGGGGAAAGCTTTGTCTCTTGTGTACTGCGCCGTGGTGAGAAAAATTTTTGATTTTTACATAGCCTTGATTGATGATATTATTATTATTATTATTTACGCATTTATTTCAAATTTAACATATATGCATATTAATTCATATTAAATTCATTTTTTATATTGAAATAATCTTCATTAGCTTTTTCTTTTCTTGTCACACGAGTATTTTTTGTGTCTTTCTTTGTTCACTATAGTAAATAATAGTAATAGGGGGTTCTCTAACAAAACCGGTTCGAGGATATAGAGGATATAATAATAATAATAATTAGTGAAAATATAGACTGTATATATAAAAAACATGTGTAACCGTATTTTGCAGAGATCGTCATTAAAAAATTTCTTTGGAATAATATTAGTAATACTCAATTTATTTTGTATAGTCAGTCTTATTTGAATCAAACGCCATATACATTACGTGTAACCTGCCGAAAGCAGTACGATAAAAATAGCGCATATGGAAGAATCTTCATGATTATTGAAGTTGCATGATTTTAATGTTTATAGTAATAAAAATAATATGCTATCATGTCTCGCAAAAACAAATATAATATTATTATAATAGATAGGAACAAAAAACGGTATTTAGTTATGGAGAGATATGTAGATATTTAAAGGCAACTATTTTATATCCGTATCTAAGAAAAGTCCCATGGAATATATTTATGAAATTCCCTCAGAATTTCACGAAGAAGTTATGGTAAAAGAACACTTTGGAGGCGTGTATTGTCTTGTATACTCGAAGAAGAGAATTGCAGAGAATAAAGGTCATGGGAGGAAACGAGAGACTCTCATCTCACGCATCAAAAAATAACGCAACTTCTCTCGTTCATGAACATGCAAAAAAGACAGTGATATGAATGAGTATTGCATTAAGAAATTATCCTCAAAAAATGGATATTGCTATGGAATTAGATAACTACTTTTGATCAGATTGTAGACTTTATTATTTAGCTAAGATAATAAATGAATAAAAAATAAAAATGCATATCGCAGTTACATTGTGTGAACAAATCAAAGAACTTGAAAAAAAGTCCCGC